GTAAGATGATTATGAATGAGGTTTCAACTGGATTCGTGGATGAACAGACGTGAGATTCGAAACCGGCCTGGATTTTTTTTGTTTAGGGCAGTTAATCGTAAGCTTATCACTTGATGAACCGACACAATCCAAGGAAACCTTCGTCCAAGCGCTTTCTTCTTTAGGCCGCAACAATACCGACACACACTGATACCACGCGGCTAAGCCCATGCTACTAGAGGGCACAATCGTAAGTTTCTCTCTATTCCTTCCCCTTTACGCTTCTCGCTTACAATCCGGCTAACCCATTTCTGAAATTTCGGTTTTAGGGAGAAAGACCCAGTTCCCATAATCGCTGAAGGGTGCAAACAAAGAGAGAGATATGGGGCTTCTTTCCAACAGGTATTTGATCTACCAATTTTCTCTGTTCTTCAGTTTTATCACATGTTTTAATCTATTGGGTACCCTTAATTTTAACCAATTTCAATACCCTTTTCGCTAAATGATAAATCCTTTGATTTGCTTGCAGAGTCAATCGGGAAAGCTTGAAACCGGGTGATCATATCTACTCTTGGAGGGCTGCTTATATCTATGCCCATCATGGTTCTCGCTCTTTCCTTCATTTTTTTTTCTTTTCCTTTTTTCTCCACGAGAAATTATTTGTATGCCCTGTAGTTTTCGAGATGATTCGATTAGAATCAAATATGCCCCAACTGTTCATCTGGCCTTCTGAGTAGTTTGAAAGGGTTGATTAATTGCTTGAGGAAATCTTTTTATGTGAGAGCAGAAGAATTGGAGTATGCTTTTGTTAACATCTGATTTAGTCATAGGGATTGTTTGATACATATGAGACTGCTTTATATGAGCCTGACATTTGATTCTTCTGATCTTGAGTTTGTTGAAGATTGTCAAGTGAGAGTCCCACGGGATGATCATGAGTTTATAAGTAAGTAATATATATCCATTAGTATGAGTTTATGCTCTAAGTGGACAAGATCATACTATTATGGAAGGTCCGGTTAGAAGTTGTAGTGAAAGATAAGTTATGCCTTGGTATGTTTCTTCAAAATTTTGTTTCAAAAGAACTTGTGGGTTTCTAAGGTTGAACTCAAAATACCCTCTATCGACGTGGTCCATTTATGGATCTCTATTGGATACACTGACATGTTATGTTCTCAACCTTAGCAGAATATGCCATTTATGCTACAATTATCATATATGTATGATGAGAGTAGATTGTATTAATACTACTTTCATTTCGAAACAAACATTACATAGTGTCACTTTTGGTTCTTTTCTCCAATCTATATCGCTGATGGGAACAATTCAGGGATCTATGTTGGAGATGACAGAGTTATTCACTTTACCAGAAGGGGTCAAGAAGTAGGAACCGGGACCGTGCTTGATGTCTTACTGGTAAGTTCAGGACCTGCTCGATCCTTCGTACCGTGCGCTACTTGCATTCCTGTAGAAGAAGGAAATGGGGTTCTGTCTTCATGTTTGAACTGTTTTCTTGCTGGTGGAGTGTTGTATCGTTTTGAGTATGCTGTCAGTCCTGCTCTCTTTCTTGCGAAAGCTCGAGGTGGAACTTGCACCCTTGCTAGCTCTGATTCAGATGATCTTGTGGTTCATCGAGCGAAATACCTACTCGACAATGGCTTTGGATGCTATAATGTATTCAAGAACAACTGTGAAGACTTTGCGATATACTGCAAAACTGGACTACTTGTGGTTGATCAGAGGACCATGGGACAAAGTGGGCAAGCAGTTTCAATCATAGGAGGACCTCTGGCAGCTGTTCTCTCAACACCGCTGCGTCTTGTGACAACCAATGTCTATGGAATGGCTGCAACAGCTGTTGGGGTGTACTGTGCCAGTAGATATGCTGCTGATATTGGGATGAGGAAGGATGTTATGAAGATAGCTGTGGAGGATTTGACACAAAGGCTAGCTACCGGGCTTATCCAGGTGGTGGAACCGCAGATCTTACCTGCAATGGCGCCGGGGTCTCACCTGCTCACAGACAGATAATTAATCTACCACCATCTGTTGTTCTTGTCTGGTTTAAAAGAACAAAACTGTTGAACTGTTGTGAAATGTAACTCCTGCAAACAAATTATTTGTGGCAGGTTTAGAACTTATCTCATATTTATTAGGAAACATGGTCATTTTATCATAACATTGTTTTGACCATAATAATGCATTTTGTCTCCGATGAAAGTCCTTATGGGATATTGGGAGATCCTACACGTTGGAGAGTCGATTGAAACATTCTTTACAAGGGTATGGAAATCTCCCTCTCTAGCAGATGCGTTTTAAAAAAAAACTGAGCACGTGGAATGTCTCCTCCTCTCCCATAACGCCCATACTCAATTGGGTAAAACAACCAAAACATTGATGATGGAATTGCAGCAGACAGCATGAGAGGAATCTGTCCATTGAGTACCTCAAAGCAACAAGGAAAGCCTAGACAGCAAGGCAGTTTGGTTAGATGGGCCAACAAAAACAACCAGATGTGGGCTTCAACCCATCTCTTCTTCTCTCCTTTGCTTCCCATAATACCCTTTTTTTTTTATTATTATTATTATCAATAAATATATTCTCTCCATCCCTTCAAAATCAAAATGATGGACCAATTTAGTTTTGTTGTGGGCATTATTGGGATTTCCTTGAGGGAAGAGGAATCAATTTGTTTCCTACCATTCATGCACATGCCCATTTTCCCATATCATTATCTCACCCATAATCACATACCAACCATGATTAAATTCGAACATAGTTAAATAGATAAGACACTAAAAAAAAAATACACATTTACGCGTTATTATTGAGTGGATTTGTTGAAATTAGCGTTTTCCAACACCGACACCGACCCGAGTGGGTAGACACGTTTATTTGCTTTGCTTCGGTTCAAAACCAATGGATCCTAAAATTTGGGCCATTCATTGTGGACATAATCATGGCTCTCACCCATCTTCATTTTTCAAACATAATTCTTTCTAATAATTCTTTTTTATTCCTTTTACCCTAAATTTAATTATATATTCATAATAATTTGGGAAATAGAAAAATGAATTAAAATATTTACCTTCCCCACCCACACCACATCATTACAATACAAACAAAAAGGAAGGCATAAGATTTGGACCCCATTTTTGTCTGTGTTCAGCGTATCAAATAAAAAGCCTTCCCCTACCTTTATTCTCAATAATTTTCCCTTTTAAATCAAATTTAGACTACAATTACCATATTACCCTCCTTTTTTAACCTTCCTATTCTATATATATTTAATATAAATTTCAAGACTAAAATCATGTTGGAAAAGAAAAAAAAAAAAAAAATCAAATAGAGTTGACCTGGAATTGTCTACTTCCATGAAATAGTCCGTGACTTGCTATTATTCAAAATGTTTATAATTAAAATTATAACATTTTTTTAACAATTAATAATACATAATGAATACAACCTTGTGGGCTCGGGTATTTATTTACATAAATTATAATTGTTTAAGCAAATTCTTCTCCATAAAACTCCATGTGCCCACGTACCATAGAAAATATTTCAAAACAACAATATTAATATAATTGAAGCTTATGAAATTATATGGGTAGTGGGTAGGCTATAATATTTAAATAAAATGATTGAATTAATCCATCCCTTTAATATATTACTAGATTTTAAAAATGGGAAGCTACCCAATTTTTAATTTGGTGTTTGAATCAATTTTTAATTTTTTTTTTTAATTTTGTGTTTGACTAATTTAAATTTGATTAGACATAAAGTTCAAATATTAGGATTAAATTGGACTCAAAAGTTTTATTTAATAATTAATTTACAAATTTTTAAAGAATTTATTACGTATCAATTTAAAATTTGGAGAATAAAAATGGTTTTATGGGTAAATTAAAAAAGAATATCGGGTCAAAACGTAAGAAAAAGGTCGCCGGCGGTCGGAGTGACGTGGACGTGTGGACGTGGGTTAAATTCAACCCGAACGGTCCCGCAATTTTCTCCCATAATGTAGCGACGTTTAAGGCGCCGGCATGAATTTACGGAAATGTCCCCAAGTGCAATTATCATTCTTTTTATTTTTTTAAGGGGGTAATTATCGCATGCGGTCAATTCTACGGACTCCTTATCCTAGAAATTTTAAAAAGGATTTTGTTCTGAAAGGTAAGTTTTTTGGAGTTTCATCAAAAGATGCGAACAATTCTTTTGAGACACTTAAAGTTGTGATTTTTTCAGGTGCAACATGCATTCTTTTTCCTCCCATTTTAATTACTAGAATTTAGGTTTAAATTTGTTAAACCAATCGGACTCTCATAATGGTATGATATTGTCCACTTTGAGTGGAAGCTCTCGTAGCTTTGTTTTAGGCTTTTTAAAATGCCTAGTATTCTTTGATTATAAACGCATCATCATCCTTTAACTAAATTAAATCAAATTATTTTAAATATATATCAAATTAAATTTACTCTTGTAATTGAGAACTTAATAATTATTAAAAACCCATTTCTTTTTTATCTAATTAATCGCTCGTCCCTTTTCTTTTATTATTTTTTTGTATATTGCATAATTCGTGTACCAAATCGAAAATGTTTAATTATTTAATTGAAATTTTTTCTTCAAGTTTATTAAAAAGAAAAAAAATTAATAACTACTTATCAAATTGTAAATTGGTCATTAAATATTCTTAATATCTTTTTTTTAAGTTGCCTAATAGGTACAATATAATATTTTAACTATTTTTTAATTTGTATGTAATATTATTATAAATAATTTATGGGAGGTAAAACAACCATATTTGGCAATTAAGTAATTTATGAGAAGTAAAATGGTCAAATATGGTAATTGTTATTATCTTCGGTATGTTCCTTGGATGGCGCCGGGATCCGCCAAACGTGAGAAGACAATAATGCCCTTCGCTTCTTTCAAAATGCCGTCAAAGATAAATGGAAGAAGAGGAGAAAGAATAAGAAGGAAAAAGAAGAAGGCGCGTGGCATTCCCCACTTCCAGAAACCATCAACGAAAGCATAAATTCCCTCACAAGGGACACACTCTCCAATAATTTCTCTCTCGGGCTCCTCTTTTTTTTTTTTTCCTTTCTTTTTTCCCTCTGTTCTTTTGTTTTCTTCAGTTTCCGATCTGAATTTCCCACATTTCCATCCTGTCCTGAAAGCTGTCGTTCCGGATCCACGTTTCTCGTTCTCAACTTCAGCCAAAGCTCGATCTCTTCATCGTTTCTGCGTTTGGAAGACAGAGCGATTTAGCTGTTTGTTTTTGGAACTGTTAATTCTCCATTTTGCTCTTCACTTGCCTGGACTGTTCTTCGAATTGGGGCTGTTTATTACCCCCAAATTCTGTGATTATCTTCTTCTTCAGTGCGGGATTTCATTTGGGTGTTGTGAGAAACCGCCAGAAATGGCAATGTGAAGGCTGTTCTCGGAAAGCATTCGGCCCCAGATGTTCCTTTTCGGAGCTTGGTGTTGCTTCACAGATCTGCCATGGAAGACTTCAAAACAGAGCTCGTTCTAGTACTCCTTCTTGCCGTAATTTCTGTGGGGTTTGGAGCTACCGACCCCAATGATCTTGCTATTCTCAATGAGTTTAGAAAAGGGTTGGAAAATCCAGAGCTCTTGAAATGGCCGCCCAATGATAACGACCCATGTGGCAACAAATGGCCTTCTGTGTTCTGCGATGGTTCAAGGGTTTCCCAAATTCAGGTCCAAGGTTTTGGACTGAAGGGCCCTTTGCCGCAGTATTTCAATCAGCTTTCTATGCTCTCCAATATCGGTCTTCAGAATAATGAATTCTCCGGTCCCTTGCCGTCGTTCAGTGGCCTGAAGAATCTCCGGTACGCGTTCCTTAATTACAACAATTTCACTTCAGTTCCGGCTGATTTTTTCACTGGCCTCAATAGTTTAGAAGTTCTTGCTCTCGATGGGAATAATTTAAACGGTAGTTCTGGGTGGATGTTTCCACCGGCGTTGAGCAATTCAGCTCAGTTGACGAATCTTACTTGTATGAGTTGTAATTTGGTTGGTCCCTTGCCGGACTTTCTTGGGTCTATGTCCTCTTTATCTGTGTTATCGCTTTCTGACAATAGACTCACCGGTGGAATTCCGGCGAGTTTTAAGGGTATGATATTGACGAGACTTTGGTTGAATAATCAAGTGGGAGGTGGAATGACTGGTTCTATTGATGTGGTGACGACGATGACCTCGTTGAATAGTTTGTGGCTCCATGGGAATCAATTCTCAGGGACTATTCCAGATAACATTGGGGATTTGAGTCTTCTGCAGGATCTGAATCTGAATGGTAATGAATTTGTTGGTTTGATTCCCAAGAGCTTAGGTGATATGAGTTTAAGCCATTTGGATCTGAACAACAACAAATTCATGGGTCCAATCCCAAAGTTTAAAGCATCGAAAGTGAGTTATTCTTCAAACCTGTTCTGTCAAACTCAGGCAGGGGTAGCTTGTGCCCCTCAAGTCATGGCGCTGATTGAGTTTCTTGGCGCCATGGGTTACCCCTTAAGACTTGTCTCTGCTTGGACTGGAAATGATCCATGTCAAGGACCATGGCTGGGATTGAACTGCAGATCTGGGGATGTCTCTGTCATTAACTTACCAAAGTTCAGTTTGAATGGGACCTTGAGTCCATCACTTGCTAATTTAATTTCGCTCTCAGAGATTCGACTTCAGAACAACAACTTGAGTGGTTCAATTCCCTCAAATTGGACTGGTTTAAAGTCTCTTACTTTGTTGGATTTCAGTGGGAATAATATCTCCCCTCCTGTGCCACAATTCAGTAGCACTGTGAAACTTGTTACTGTTGGCAACCCTTTGTTAGGTGGTAAGCAATCCCCATCATCCCCAACGTCGGGAACTGGAGGCCTATCTCCTCCGGATACCCGATCTTCTTCAACGACCGATCCAGGTTCTAATTCTGGCAATGGGATAGGTCCAACATCTAATCGTTCCAAGGCATCTATAATAGTTTCTACGGTGGTTCCTGTTGTAAGTGTGGTAGTTGTTGCTTTTCTTGCTATTCCTCTGTCTATATATTTGTGTAAGAAGAAGAAACGCAATGAACAGGCTCCAAGTTCTCTGGTCATTCATCCAAGAGATCCATCTGATCCCAACAATTTGGTTAAGATTGTTGTTGCGAATAACACGAATAATAGTACATCTACTGCTACAGAAAGTGGTTCGGCTAGCAGAAACAACAGTGGACTTGGTGGTTCTCATGTTATTGAATCTGGAAATCTAGTCATATCTGTTCAAGTTATTCGAAATGTAACAAATAATTTTTCTTCAGAGAATGAGCTTGGTCGTGGCGGGTTTGGGGTAGTTTACGGGGGAGAATTGGAGGATGGAACAAAAATAGCAGTCAAAAGGATGGAGTCAGGTGTTATTACCAGCAAAGCCTTGGATGAGTTCCAATCTGAAATTGCAGTTCTTTCGAAGGTACGACACCGTCATTTGGTATCACTGTTGGGGTATTCGATCGCTGGAAACGAGAGACTTCTCATTTACGAGTATATGTCTGAAGGAGCTCTCAGCAAGCATCTTTTTCATTGGAAAACCTTTAAGCTCGAGCCTCTTTCTTGGAAGAGGAGGTTAACCATTGCCTTGGATGTTGCTAGAGGGATGGAGTATCTTCATAGTTTAGCGCATCAGAGCTTCATCCACCGGGATCTCAAATCTTCAAATATCTTACTTGACGACGATTTTAGAGCGAAAGTTTCTGATTTTGGACTGGTTAAACTAGCCCCTGATGGTGAAAGATCTGTAGTAACCAGGCTTGCAGGGACATTTGGTTACTTAGCACCAGAATATGCTGGTAAGCTTTTAAATTTGTATCCATGAAATCTCAATTAAATCAAAATCAATGGTTTCGTATCTAACTTATTTCATGGTTTCATTGAAACAGTAACAGGTAAACTTACTACCAAAGCCGACGTGTTTAGTTTTGGCGTTGTGCTCATGGAGCTGCTGACTGGATTAATGGCTCTTGACGAAGATAGATCTGAAGAATGTCAACATCTAGCTGCGTGGTTCTGGCACATAAAATCAGACAAGGAGAAGCTGATGGCTGCTGTGGATCCAACCTTGGGTTGTAAAGAAGATATATCTGAAACCATTTGCAGAATAGCTGAATTAGCTGGTCATTGCACTGCAAGGGAGCCTACCCAACGACCTGATATGGGCTATGCTGTAAATGTATTGGCTCCACTCGTCGAGAAATGGAAGCCGATTGACGACGACACGGAGGAGTTCTCTGGAATTGACTATAGCCTACCTCTTAACCAAATGGTGAAGGGATGGCAAGAATCGGAAGGGAGTGATTTCAGTTGCGTGGACCTGCAGGACAGCAAGGGCAGCATACCATCAAGGCCTACTGGGTTTGCAGATTCGTTCACTTCGGTCGATGGTCGTTGAAGGAGGTACCACCTTGATGATGCTTCTCTTTCCCTCTTGCTTTTCTGCTTTTACCTTTGGGATCAAATTTGGAGACAATCTGAAGTGAAGGGTATGGTGTTTTTGATAATGTGGATGTAGATAGATACCAATGGTGTCCTTCACACTGGATGCTTACTTTTTTTCTTCTTACTTTATGTTTGTATATTCCTTGTGAAACAGACTTCCAACGTTCTCTGGTTTCACTTTTTGCATCTTTGAGTTCTTTACATCTATGTACGAAGCTTTCCTTATAAGGGCGTAGAAATCTCTTTCTATCTGATGCGTTTTAAAATCGTGAAGTTAACGGCGATATGTAACAAGCTAAAGCATACAATATTTATTAGCAGCGGACTTGGGTTGTTAGAAATTGTATCAAAGCCAAACGTCGAGAGTGTGCTAGCAAGGACTCTGGGTTCGCAAGAAGGGTGGATGGTGAGATTTCACACAAGTAGGAGAGAAGAATGAAGCAATTTACACATCTCCCTACTAGACATGTTTTAAAAATCGTGAGGTTGACGGCGATATGTAATGGATCAAAGTGAACTATATCTACTAGTAGTGGACTTGGGCTGTTACAAATGGTACGAGAAAGCTAGATATTAGGTGGCAAGCCAATTAGGACGCTAACTCTCATTGGTCCTCAAGGGAGGAGTCGATTGTTAGATTCCATATCGGTTGGAGAGAGAAACAAATCATTCTTATAATAATGTGGAAACCTCTCCCTACCATAAGCATTTTAAAATTGCAAGGCTGATGGACCGTACTTAACAGACCAAATCGAATAATATCGAGTATCCGCGAATTTTTTTTTTGTAATAAAGAGAATATTCCATAATTCCATATTATGTTTAAGAAGAAGATAGGATTGAAATGGGGTATGTAAGTTATGAGCCACGTTGGTTTTGATAGTGAATAGATATTTGTATTGAGAGGGGCAACCTTGAGAGCCATACAAAAAGCAGTGGCCTTAATGGAGGACCTCATGTCCCATGTACTACGTGTATGTGTCTTGGAATTTGATTGCGACTTATGAGTCATTTGTGTGAATGTGGTTTCCGCTAAATATATCTATAAGAATTAAAGTAATTCATAAATGTAATATTATACGTCTCATGCCTCTGTCAAAACGACAAATAATTAATAATGTAACTTTCAAACTTCATCCATGAATCTAAATAATTATGTCAAACTTCGATTATTCAAACCTTTTGATTTTGTTAGGTTGAGAATTGTTGGGAGTGAGTTTCACATCGATTAATATGAATAATATTTTTTAGTAATAAATATGATAAAAAAAATTAATTGTTATTAGATAATTTTCGAATTTTTTTTTTTTTTTTTCTTCATAGAAACTAAATATTTTAATTTTAGTTATATTGATTCAATTTAATAGTTGGAATATAAATTACATAACTTTTTTAAGAATATTGTTTAAAAGAAAAGAGCGGGAAACCAAAATTTCAGTGATCCGATGGCGGGAAAACTGCCACAATCTAAGAATCATAGGAAAAGATGCAGAATTTCTGAAGTGGGAATTGAGATCTTCAATTTTCTTTCGAATCATGCAATCCAAAATCAGCGCCTTCTTCAAACCCTGCCCTTCGATTTCAGCGCACAAGTCGCCGGAACCCTTGAATACAGACGCCGACGACAGCGACGATGGAGCATTGAAGATCTGGGAAAAAGCAGAGCATCAATACGTCAACACTTATAAGCGTAGAGCTCCGAGCTCCGATAGGTATCTCCCAGATTCTTCTTCTTCTTCTTCTCCTCCTCTCAGAAATTGTAATTGGCTGTTATTGATGAAATCCGTTTTGTTTGTTCTGTCCCTCAAAAAATTTATATTATAAGAATCGTGAGAAGTCCACAATGTGTAGACTCGGAGATAAATATTCCAATCCCAGGTGATTCGCCTGCAAAAGAAGAATTGGTTTCATTGACCAAACCTGTGGTCAAGAACAAGAAAAGAAGCTATGCTCAGTACCATTTACTTTTTGGCCAGTCTGATTTCTTACTCCATTTTTGTTCCACCTGTGGAATCAAATATGCTCGTGGAGATGAAGGCGATGAAAAATATCATAAATCGTTTCATAAGAAGTACACATGTGGAATCCAATTTAAGGTGCAGCCAACGTTTTATTTTTCTTTGGTTTGTTTCTCGGTCTCTTTCTAATTGCATTTTTGCACCATTGGTAGGGATGGTCTCACGAAAGGCTTATCAATATTTCCACTGTTGAAGACGGCCGTATTTTGTTGGTGTTGAATTCTGACCCCTCTGCCCACTGGAACAAGGTTCAAACTCATTAAATTTGGACTGTTGAAGTCAAATACTTAGTGAAATCAAGTTATAGCCGGGTAATCCAACATTTTTCTTCATGTTAATCAATTTTGTTCTACTGGCAGATTGAAGAGGTGGTCAAGATGATGGAAAAAGAGCTAGGAAATGGATGGATATTGTATAAGAACTGCCAGGTGCTTGACTTACTGTAAACTGGGCAATTTCAGAGTTCTTGATCATACTGATTCTTTTGCACACATTCATCAATTGATAGAAAGAGAATCAGCCTTTTTTTTCATCTGAATTTCATAATTGGGCTTCTGATTTGTTGTGCTATCAGAGTAAAAAATCAAATCTGTTTTTCATGTTCTCAAGGTTTCCATTTCATCCGGACTTCCATTTTGCATGTATTGTGATTCCTTGCTATCATGTTTCTGCACTTAATTTTCTCATCCAACTGCAGGTTTATCTGTTTGTTTCATCCCAAAGAATTGTAGGATGTCTGGTTGCAGAACCAATAATGAAAGCTTATAAAGTTGTTTCATGTTTTCTGGACGAGAGACCTGAAGAGTCTAAGATGAAGGATTCAAAACCAAATTCAACAACCTTGCAGTTTGGTAACATCAGTTTCCGGAGAGAAGCCATTTTGAAGAAACCTACTGATAATCCTGAGGCATTGGATGTGAACCTGAATGGTGTAATTTTATGTGAAGAAGAAGCTGTTCCTGCTGTTTGTGGAATTCGTGCAATTTGGGTTACTCCTGCCAACAGAAGAAAACATATTGCCAGCCAATTGCTAGATGCTGCAAGGTAAAAAAGTATAAACACATCAACATCATTATCTTCTCTTGCTGAAACCCAACAAACTACCTGATAAATTTGGTTGGAGAGGGGAGAATGATGTATTTCTTTTTCGTGGAAATATCTTCCTAATAGATGCACTCTGTCTAGTAGACCTATTTTAAAACTGCGGGCTAAAACAAATCATATCTACTAGCGGTAGGCTTGTGGCTTGCACGGTTACACGAGATATGCTAATTTTATTGAATTGTTTTGACAGATTTTGTTTTGAAAAGTGCTAAAATTATTAGATATCTAGATGGCTGAATTTGCTTTTACAAAAGCTTACCTAATTGACACAAGACCGTCACCATTCTTTGGAAAGGGCAAACTACACATCAAAGTGAGATCTCACTCTTGTTTCTCTATGCTGCAGGAAAAGCTTCTGCAAGGGAGGTTCCCTCGAGTGCTCTCAATTGGCATTCTCTCAGCCAACTTCTTCTGGAATGGCATTGGCATCAAGATATGTCGGCTCCAGATCTATATTGGCATATAAAAGCGACACTCTGATATGAGGATATTGAAATCAAAGCTAATTCGATAGATATAGAGAATAGCTTATGAAAATAATATGGGGCACTTTAATTGGTGTATAGTCTTGTTTACTTGCAACAAAGAATTAGAAAGGAATTAATAGAAATGAGATGTGAATTAGTATCAAATGCAAATTATATCCTATTAGAAATTAGATTGTGATATAATTATTAAAATATCCATGATATACTTCGAACCAATACTTGATGCAATATTAGTTACCAATACAAAAGAGCTTGAATTTTTAATTACAGGAATAATCAAGAATCATACAACTTAAAAACTTACGCTTCGCTTTTCCTCAAGAACTAGTGTGTTTCCTTTCCACTCGAATGGAACCCAAATCTGAAAAAATGGGATTTGGAACGGTGTAGCTCCTCCATGATTCCTGGTTGAAACAATGAGACTTGGTACCAAATCTGAATCTTTGGAATTAAATTGTTTGGATTCGGTTCCATGGCCAGACTTGGAACGCATACTAAATGGACCCATTGGCGACATCAGTGACCACGGAGGGTGCGAAGGGAGAATGAGAAGTAGAAAGGAGGAAATGAAAAGGAAGAGGAAGGGGGCAGCGCGAACGATTTAAAAAACAAAATTTTGGACTGGAAATTGATTGGAGGCCGCGCGAACGCAGGCCCCCGCTACCACAAATAATAACGTAGGTTCCGCCACTTTGGACAGACCTTAGACGGGCACCCCTCCCATAGTGCAATGGAGGTCACCAATCTAGGCCATGGACCTTCGTGATCGCCCATTGACCCCGTCCAGGTAAGTAAGTTGCGAAGTGCCTCTCCCATTAGCTTTATAGGCCCCCCATGCAGCAACTCCTCACGCTTTCTCGATGTGGGACAAGCATAACCAAATTTAGCTGCTCTCCATCACCTCTTGGCTAGGAAAAATGTTATATTCTCAAATCTTCATTTTGCCATTGTTGCAATCTTAGGATATCAATTACATTATTTAAAACGTGGTTCACCCAAATTTTTTACCTCAATTTTCTAAACCAATAACCTTATAGTTTTCATATTATTAAAAAGTAGAGTTCAATTGTAAAAATTTTATAGCACTTTCTTGATAACAAATCTAAGAGTGACTCATGATCAAATTCAAAATTTCGAACTTTATTAATTATATTTGTTCAAGTGGTTCTTTTACCATATCTTATATAAGCCCGTGCACTTACTTCTAAAACACTCCTAAATATAGCTTAAATATAGCTTAACATCTCAAAGTATTTGGTTGGAATGATTTGAACCCATGACCTAAACCAAAATCATAAGCTAAAAGTGCATTCTTTTCCTTTCAAAAATGATTATTGGTAACAATTGAGTATAAAAGAGCAAAAGAATAGGCGAGATAGTAAAGTATATAATAATCCCAAAATAAGAAAAGAGAACAAAATTTGAAGGTTTGGTTTTGGGCAATGACTAATTATCACTTCGAAAAGAATAAAGAATAACTCCCACATTTAAAAGCGAATTCCACGTTCTGATTCCATTCTATGAATCAAAATGCCTTTATCCACATTCCCCCAAACGTGGCCTTACAAGCAAGAAAGCGAAGGTAAAAGGGAGAAGAGCGTCAAAATCAAGCTCGTGGAAATCATTTCCAATCCCATATTTGGACTAATAAACCCTTTTACAGCTGCACAAATTATTTAGTGAAGGTTCTGATTCCCATATCTTTGCCTCAGATTTCAAATATGAACATGAATCCACCAATGGTCCCTATCCCACAAGGATCAAACATTCTGCCTTATCTCAAAAGTTATCAAGACCTTCAAATTTTGGCGTTCTTATTTGAACAACAAGAGTTAGATACAAGAATACAACATTTTTTACGAACCTGTGATTCATACGGTACACGTATAATGATTGTGGTATGAATAATGAATATAAATTTTCTTCTTCCCATTGCAGAATTTGAACACTTCAGCTAACTAATTGGGTTTCACTCTGCTTGAAAGAAACATCATCACACTCATTTCCGAGTATGAAGTTACCAAATTCCTTCATCACTTGTGCATAAACAGGCTTCCGGACATCGGCAGTCTGTACAAACGATTATAAGGATGTAAGAGAAATTGCAGGACAAAGAATGAAGCAACAAGAATTTTACTCACTTGGTTCATTATCTGTTCAATTGACATCCATAACCACTCCCCAAACTCTTGCCTTTCAGTTCCATCACCCAGAAGATTAATCTCTTCTTCTTTTCCGGTGAACTTCATCAGAAACCTGTCACGAGCTTCAGGATCAATCAAATGAACATGGAAGCTTGAAGGGGATAACACATAATCCTTGAACATTGATCAAGTTTTTGAGGAAGAAAAAAGAAAACAGTTACCAAATTCGCACGCAATAGGTTCTTTAATGATAAACAAGAAGATTATACCAAGAAAACACGAATCTGTCGAGACACGTTTTAAAAAGGAGGTTCCTTAACATCAAAAGGATATAGAAGCCAGATTTTCAGGTGACAATACCACTTTTGGGTTTGGCCTTTGTATCTTACTCCCCAGTGTTTGCTGAGTTTGATGCTGGTTTCGGGCGAGAAATCGTAAGTAAGCCAGTAGGGTAGCTATATATTTTTAACCATAGAACGAATCAGTCCCGATTTCAATGAGGCTGGATTTCATTTTTCTATGTAATGAAAAACGAGATATAGAGGTTGGAGGCATCTCAAAATGCATACCTCTGAAATAATTTCTGCAGAAACTACTCCAGTTTCTTCAGTGAGTTCTCTCTTGGCTGCCGTATTGAGATCTTCGCCTTCATTTACACCACCCTGTATGATGGAAAATCATTTTCAAGGAAAACAAATCTAAGGATCCTCCATTACCTTCAAGCCCCGCGAGGCAGTAATAAAGCCTATATCATTTAGGGATACAATACAATGCAGATGTAGATAAAATACATCATTTCTAACACCTCTCAGTCTCATGATTGAAAAGATAAGAAACACACAAAATTGTCAATGTTTCCATCAATACCATAAACAGATTTCTGAAAGGTAATATAGTTCCCTAACGGAAAAAAACCATGGCAGCATAGAAAGAATTTTCACTTGAAATGTTCCAGCCATTGCAAGAATTTCACTAAGAATATGTTCAAAGAGAAGATTCGAGAGAGATGGATTCAATTTTGCACAAATCCCCTTCTAATTTGAGAGGATCCTCGAATTTCTCACTCGCGTGTAAGAAAATCTGAGGAGCCCTTCAAAAGGATTTTCGGATATTCCCACAAAGAAATCAGAGATGGAACCTATAGATTATATGCCCTAATTCGCACGGAATAAAGCAGCGAGACGGTACTTTCCTGTTTCCCAATGAATAAAGTTCGAAATACGTCGGAATAGAAATTACCTGAGGCATTTCCCAGACTTCAGGCCTGTTCAGCCTCGAAGCTGCAAAAATCTGCAAAAGATTAATTGGACAGAAAACAGTTATCATCAACAGAAGAAAACAAGATGGGAGAGAAAGAAGAAGGCGACGAAGGAGAAGAGAAATTACTTTTCCAGAAGGATTAAAAAGACAAATCCCAACGTTTCTTCTGTAACCTTCTGGAGGAAACTCCATGGATGATGAAGAAGAAGACGAAGGCCGGAAGAGACAGCAACACGATGAAATCCCCCTCCAATGAGGCGTTGACGAGACATCAATTGAAAAAGAGGGGCAATTTGGTCCAAACACACTCAAAGCAACCATTACGCTGTCGTTTCCGTTTACTTGATTCCCAAGTCTCTTTTGGCGTTTTGAAATTTCCTTCCAAGTTCTTCTATTTTGCTTCCTTATTACCAAAGCCCCAAATCTGATATTTTATTCCAAAAATACCCTCACCGCCTTCTCCTTGTTACCATAAAAACCTAAAACCCACTCTGTAAAAGCCCCCATAGCCTCCTCCTTCAAGATTTCTCTCTAAAACCCTCTTCTTCTTCTTTCTTCTTCTTTCTTCTTTACGAGATTTTTTCTTCTGTTCCGCAATTGAACAAGAATTCATTCACTTGTAGCGGCGATGGTGGAGACCGCTGGAGGCGTTTCGTTCCCGATCGTTTTCCACGACGGCGAGCAAGATGTCCCCATCGGTTCCGTCATCGTTTCTTCTTCGACGGATTTCAAGAATTTTCAATCGGATTTGAGCAAGATGATCGGAATCTCTTCGCACCAATTCACTGTTTACCTCGCCGAGTACAAGATCTCTCTGGATTTCTCGACGAAGATTCGGCGGAGAATCCCCATCACCGGTAAGGTCAACTTCGGCGCAATTTCCTGCGAGAAGAACAGTTTCTTTCTTGTTGTTTTGAAACGGTCGAGACGCGAGAGGAGGCGGAAGGTCACCGACAACAACGAAGACGAATACTACCTCCCGTCAGCGACGAAGACGAAGGCAAAGACGAATCAACCGAATAAGAAGAATCCACCAGAGAATGTGATGCTGTTGAGACGAAACGCTGGCATTGAAAACGAAATGCTCTCGGGCTTCATCTCGCCGGCGATGGTCCGATACGATTACGAAGATCGAATTCGGAAGCTGCAATTGGAGAGGGAAAACTACTCAACGAGCGTAGGGCTAAGGAATCTGACGGTGGGCGGAGACGGAGACGGTGGCTGGAACGGTACTGCGAAATCGAAGACGACGGCCTGCCGTGACTGCCTGAGTGCGAGAGAGACCGGGGTGGCAGTCGGATTTCACTGCTGCGCCAACGATGCCGTGACGGCGGGATTCCGGTCACATGCTGGTCCGATAGCCCGACCCATAAAAGAATCCGAGCCGAATTAGCTTATTTTGGTCTTCTCGTTGTGTGCGGTGCGTGTGAATAAGTAACAGAGTAGGTGGAAGGGGAGGAGAGGGAATGGGGTGGGGGGGAAATATTCGTGTGAAGTCGAGTACACCGTAAGAAGAGTGTACCAAAATCTTCCATTGGCTTACAAATGGCCCCTTCAGGAGGAAGGATTGTAGCCGTTGATCACAGAGAAGCAGCAGGTTGGTCCACCATCCACCTAATATTTTCTTTAAAATTGTGAGACTATTTTGACCAAAAGGAGGAAGGAGTTTTTTTTTTTTTTTTTTTTTTTTTTTTTTTACGATGTGGGAGTGGAAGAAGAGTCTGCTTTTTCAATATTGATATAATTATTATTAATATTGTTGTTGGTTTTCCTCCCAATTAAAAATTTCTTCTCTTTCGACTTTATAGTCCAATTCAAAATGACCNAGGATTTTTTTTTTTTTTTTTTTTTTTTGTTTGTTTACGATGTGGGAGTGGAAGAAGAGTCTGCTTTTTCAATATTGATATAATTATTATTAATATTGTTGTTGGTTTTCCTCCCAATTAAAAATTTCTTCTCTTTCGACTTTATAGTCCAATTCAAAATGACCATTCGCTCCTTCTGTTCTTTCATGTGTAGTGTCATGTTGGGGGATTGAATTGGGATTTCCTTGAATAAAATATTGGATGTTTTTTTAAGGTATCAAGAATATGGGTATTTTATAATTGTAAGTCATTTATTTTTCCTTCATATTTCTAATTTAATGTATTTAGCTGGGAAAGAAAGTAACGTTTCATTCAAATTGAGCACAAATGTGGGTTTGAAACTATATATTAAATAAAATTATTTTGACAAAATATAGTTGAGGTAAGACCTATCTTTGTTTGTCTTTAACCGGCATGAAACTCAAATAGCATGTAAGATTAATAATCATATTGTTTTAAAATTTGTATACTATATTTAGAGAGGAGAAAAAAAAGAATATAAAAATTTTAGTGTTTGTGAAAAGGATAGTGGAAAACTGAAACATATAATTATAGAGAGGAGAAAAAAAGGTAAGAAAAGTTTGGTCAATATTATCGCGTTGGTAATGGTTTGGAAAACAGAGGTTGAAGATGACAAGGTCCGAAGGTTACGTGATATTTCTAAGAAAAGCTTTGGTGGATGTCCATATTCTGACTCCTCCAATTCCCCCACCCCCCCTCAAACTCCTCTTCCTTCCCATTTTTCTCTCCCTCTCTCTCTCTCTCTCTCTCCAATTCCAGGCCATAGAGAGAGAGAAGACTCATAAACAGAGACACTTCCAAATGGCTTCTTCATCCGTGGATCAACAACATTTCCAATCCCAATCCAAGCCCACCGACCCACCTCCCCCGCTTCCCCCCTCCGCCGGAAACAACCCTCCTCCCATCTACCCCCCTCCCACCCTGGGGTATCCTCCTCACGCCCATGGCTACCCTCCAGCCATGGGGTATCCTCCAGCGCCACATCCAGGGTACCCTCCGGCCCCAGGGAATTACCCCCCTTACAACGCCTACGCCTACACCCAGGCCCCTCCCGCCGCTTATTACAACAGCAACAACAACAACAACAACAATCCCCAATACTACCGACAGGAGACGGCAGGCGCAGGATTCCTCCGCGGCATTTTTGCGGCGTTGCTCCTTTTGGTGGTTATAATGACCATGTCCAGCATTATCACCTGGATCATCCTCCGCCCCGAAATCCCAAATTTCAAAGTGGATTCCTTCTCCGTCGCCAATTTCAACATCTCCAAATCCAACTACTCCGGGATCTGGGACGTGAAAGTGACGGTCCAAAATCCCAACCACAAACTCAACCTGCATTTCGAGCGGATCCGGAGTTTCGTGGACTACAGTGACAACACGGTGGCAACCTCCTTCTCCGACCCTTTCTTTCTGGACATGGAGAAAAGCAAGCAAATGCTGGTTAAAATGACCTCCAGTAGCCCGGATGACCCCGGAAATTGGGTGCAAACGGAGGAGAAGCTCGAGCGGGAGAGGGCCACTGGAACGGTTAGTTTCACCTTGAGATTACTTGCGTGGACCACTTTCCGCTCTGGTTCCGGGTCTGGGTGGACCAGGCGCGTTATTCTCAGAGTGTTCTGTGAGGATTTGAAGCTGGTCTTCACCGGACACACCACTGATGGCGTCTACTCCCCCGGCGCCCACCCCAAGACTTGTAAGGTTCTCGTCTAGAATATTCCTCGGTGAAATGTGTGTGTTCTTCTTCTTTTTCTTTGCTTCTTTTTAGAATTTTTTATGTCTGTTTCCCCTTCTCTAACGAGCCTTCTTGGGTTTGGATTGTATATAATATAGGTTCGTAACACAACAATTGCCCCCAAAACTTCCATTCTTTCATTTCTAGCTTTCACATTTCATTGCTTTCATTAACAACTTTGTACCCCCACCTTCCATTCCAATTACAAAACACTATA